GTCGCAGAGGTGTGCCAAGGCTCCAAAGTTTTTCTAATGTGAAAAGAGGCGTTGTCGATGACGCTAGAATTTTCAAAATCTATGCGATGGTCGAATGACCACGCATGTTTCGCAATGTTTGATCCATTAGCACATGTTTTGACATTCCTGATATGTTCTTTCTCACGAGTTTCAAAACACCGACCGGTTTCGCCCACATAACACCAATCACAATCGGCACAGGGTATTTTATAAATCAAGTTCGGTTGATGTTCACTGGATGGTCTGAATTGGTTTTTTTATTGTAATTTTGATTATGTCTCATCCTGGCTGCGGTTCATTCTTCAAACATATAGTTTCATTTACAAACCAGCATTAATGATAGAGTGGTCATAGAGTGTCGATGTCTCGCTATCGATTTTCTCTACCCGCAGTATGGGCCTATCCGCACTGGCAAAAAAAATTGTTTATTTAGATAAATTTTCTATCATCACGTAAAGTACAGCATTATTATAAAGGGAAAAGTTAATTGCGTAAAGTAACGAGGCCATAAAGGCATGGTAAAGATGCCTTGTTTGTTAAAACATTTAATGTGTCTTAAAATCCAAGTGCGATATCACGCTTGAAGTACTGGGACGGGTGAACTCTCACCACCTTGACCTGTCTGGTTCTTGACTCCTTGTGAACTTTCCGATCGCTTAGATGGACCGACAACGAAAATGTTATTGTTACTGGATTCATCGCATTATGTACGAGTGCAGCAAAGAACACTGCCTTCCCTTGGGTATGTAAAGTGTTGACGGATCAAACTGCAACTCGAGAATGTCCTAAGTACCTGGCCTTTAACAAGTAGAAATCGGCGGGTTTTCCCATTAGGTACCAGGTTCTCTTGGTTCTCCCGCTTATTTTGGCGTCCTTTTGAAATGGTGCGAGATGTCAGCTTCGATGAGAATCCATTGAACTATACTTTGGCCGGGCAAAATCCAGTTTGCTTTCGCTTTGTCTCCGTGCAGTGGTCACGTCACCCAGCTGCTGAAGACGTGGGCTAGAGTCAACAACAACAACAACACAGGTGAGTAATGGCAGTGTTGAACGATAAGCTTTTTGACACTGTTTTAAAAGATGCCTGGAATGCAGACATTTAATTTTGCTACTGGTCAGGGATATTTCTTTATCAAGAAGAAGTTATGCATTGTGGAATACAATCGAAAAAATTCGATACCTTTTTATGACCGTTGCGGCTGGCACAGTGGCCCTAAACATAAGTTATGAAGGGCTTTTGTTGACGGTCTTATTGATAATGTTGAAACATACCCAATTCAAGACTAGAGTGCTAGAACCATACCCTATTTAAGACCAAAATGGGCAAAATCGACACCCTATTTATGACCAAAACGGCTGAAAACCCCTACCCTTTGAGGCCGCACATACCTATATAGCCCATATAAGGGAGTACCCCACCCACTTCCCCTCCGTGAGACGGTCGTGGACCTTCCAACATAAATCTTGCCATCTTTGTTTGCTCCTTTGATGTTTGCCGGACTTAATATCCATTCCCCTCTGTTAACTATGAGTTGATGTATTTATATTCTGTATCATTATCAGCCGTTAAGTAGTCTTTTAACGTGGTGTAAGCTTATCTGTTAGCATCAACTTCCTACAAGATTTGTTATTGGCTTTTATGTAGTATCTTATGACGCGTTGACGGTTTTGTTAAGCTCTGATGTGAATACCAGTAAACTTAACAACCCTTGCTTGACTTAACATCAGTGATATTGGTTTCGTGTTGCCCTGTGTCTGTTTAGTAACTGACAAAGGATGACGTCAAAATCTGGGAGAACAAGAAACGGTGGCACACGAGACAATAACAGATTGTGTCACTGTGGTTCTTACCACATTTTGACGTTTTTTCTGATCAGTTACTCAACAGACGCACGGCAACATGGAAACTATACGTTCCGTATAATAAAGAAACAAAATAAACTGTGTTAATGATATCATCTATTCATCTGTCATCTAAATGATAATTACTAAGAGCCAATCAAAATGCGAGAATAATTTGACATGTTATGTTAAGACAAATTTTTAATGCTAGTATAAATATTCCTAAATTATTTAAACTTAACCTATAGACAATAATGTTAATTATACATTGCACCCTCTTATACCAGATACTACATATTGCAGAATTTTCTTTCACAAAAAACCTAGATTTTTAAAAACAGGTACACACGTACCTCAAACTTTCACGATAACTACAACCACTGTAAGAAACTGGGCTCTTGCCAAGCTAATTATCAACTTGAAGCTGATAAGGGTAAATTAACTTCTGTAACAAGCTGGTGAAACTGATTTTTTCAAGTATTAACCTTTCATAACTTTGCTCTTAACATTTGTCACTTTGCACTTATCACTGACCTTGCTCTGATGAGGGTCTAACGCTCAAAACATCAGCTTCACAAACTTGCTAAGTGGTTAATTTGCGTTGGTTATTTTCAGGTATATAAATAGCTCAGTGTTTCACTTGCCAAACAGTTCCTTTAGCAACCAATACCTTTCCTACTAAGTTCTACACATAATAGCATCATTTTTGGTATAAATTGCACATATGAAATATGATATTAAGAAATTGCTAGAAAGAACTGGTTATGACTGCCATTGAATAATGGTGTTTTTCCAAGAAGAACAAATTAACAGAAAGATTTGGTTTGTTGAAAATGTTTACCCATGATGGGAAACTGCAAATAAATATATTGTGCAGATTTTTAAAATTTTCTTACCATTTCGAATAAGAAGTCTATATAAGTCCCATAATTTCCATTGAAATTCTTAGAAAATTACATTTCCATAATTTACTTTCCAATCAAAATTTCTGGGATTTTTGGTTGATCGTAAACAGCTTGGCTTCATAGTCTCAAGTTGTTATAGGGCAAGTAGTTTCAAAACAAATTAAACTGTAAGTTGCATGGCAGACAGGTGAAACACATAGTCAGCTATCAACATTTTGCTAGATTACATGTTAGATCTAAAGCTGACAATCTATCCTCTTTCTAAATGGGATCCTTCAGAGTGAACTTTAACAATGACATTTCTTGAGTAAACTTCTTTTAAACCATCCAACAGCTGAAAATTTTACTTCAAGGCTTCCAGTTTAAATTCTACACACGGATAGCAAAATGGTCCAACGTTCTGTACCGGCACACTGTCATCATCACCTGTGACCTTGGTTTCCAAGGTAACCGTGCAGTGTTTCAAAAATACTATCATTAAAATTTTCATGAAGGCATCAGCCACCCGATATCCCATACACCTTCGCGGGCCAATACCAAAGCGACACAAGCTTTTGCGCATGTTTGGTGTTTCGTTGTCGAATCGTCGGGNNTTTCATGAAGGCATCAGCCACCCGATATCCCATACACCTTCGCGGGCCAATACCAAAGCGACACAAGCTTTTGCGCATGTTTGGTGTTTCGTTGTCGAATCGTCGGGGATTGAAAGTTTCGGTATCGCCCCAGACTCCCGTGTTGCTGTTTACTGCACTGTTGTCAATGGATACTTCAACCTGAATAAAGAAAGTTGAAACGACCTTGTAAGCCTAATTTAGCGTTACGAAAAAAACAAGGCCTTATTTGTCTCACTGCACGGAACACAAATTTAAGAAACTCTTGTCATACAGAAATGTTAGCGGACTGGAGATGAGGGCAGGAGACGTTTATTAACAAAGAGAGACGATCATAAACGACATTAACGGGAAGTCAGATTTTGATCTTACGACTGAAAGGGTTTAAGAAAATAGATTAAATTTTTTCATTTAACAACCGATGGTTTTTGCAACTGGAATCGAAAATTCAGCCATGATGGATTCCCGAAACCATGAGAACATCGAACAATGAACAATGTTACCAATGATAACATTGAACAACGTTACCAGAGATAGGGAAAGAAACCGGACCAGCAAAATCAATGTTTGTTCCCGTGCAGTACTGATGTACCCGGAGATATGAACTGAATCAGTGCTTGTTCCATTTGATATAAACTGAAAAAGACGTTACGCTAAACTTTCACTGTTCCAGGGGTTTCATTAACGTTTTCAGCAGGAGGGAAAACTTTTTAAACTGAACTTCTTTGTAAGAAAAACTTTCCTCTAGGTTGCTGAACTAGGCGGGCAAAATCTTTCTCACACCCGGTCAATTTTCTCAGTGCCCGGCCCTGAATGAAACCCCTGCTGTTCTCCAATGCGGTTGATTTCACATCTCTAAGCTCTAATTTAGTATTTAGGCTCTACGTTACTATAAAACCCTGTAAAGCTCTTACCCCTGGGGGACTGTGAAAATCTCCGATCGCCATTGAACAAGTAACATATTCCGGGGTGCTGATAACCATCACGGGCCGTTTTCTGGCTGATTCCTTCACTACTTTACCCAAGAAATCCATTCTGCTGAGAAAGTCTAAACTCAATGGTCCTGAAAGCTAGAGGAGAGTGACACGTTTGAGACAGGAATAATTGACTGGTTTTGATGGTGTTTGATGTGATGAAGTTGTGAATACAACGTCTCTTTGAATGAAATCATCTTCAGGCGGAAAACATACAGTTTTTCCGATCTCAACAATCTAGAAGTCCGTATGTTTTATAATATTATTTATTAAATCCATTTTGAAATCACTGGTTATCCTTGCAATCTGATTGGCTCTCAGTGGTGCGATNTTTAATGCTAGTATAAATATTCCTCAATTATTTAAGCTCAACCTATAAACAATAATGTACATTGCACCCACTTATACTAGATACTACCTATTGCAGAATTTTCTTTCACAAAAAAACCCTAGATTCTTAGAGAGGTACACACGTACCTCAAACTTTCACGATAACTACAACCACTGTAAGAAACTGGGATCTTGCCAAGCTATTTATCAACTTGAAGCTGATAAGGGTAAATTAACTTCTGTAACAAGCTAGTGAAACTGATTTTTTCAAGTATTAGCCTTTCAAAACTTTGCTCTAAGAATTTGTCACTTTGCACTTATAACTGACCTTGGTCTGACAAGGATCTAACATTCAAAACATCAGCTTCTCAAACTCGCTAAGTGGTTAATTTTCGTTTGTTATTTTCAGGGTTATGAATAGCTCAGTGTTTCACTTGCCAAGCAGTTTCTTTAGGAACCAATGCCTTTCCTGCTAAGTTCTACGCATGATGGCATCATTTTTGGTATAACTTGCACATATGAAATATAATGCTAACAAATTACCGGAGAGAACTGGTTCCAAGAACAGCAAATTAACTGAAAGATTTGGTTTGCTGAAAATGTTTACCCATGATGGGAAACTGGAAATATATATATTGTGAGATTTTTTTAATTTTCTTACCATTTAGAATAAGAAGTCTACCTGTACCCCATAATTTCCACTGAAATTCTTAGACAATTACCTTTCCATGATTTGCTTTCCAATCAAAATTTCTGAGATTTTTGGTCAATCGTAAACAGCTTGGTTTCATAGTCTCAATTTGCTATAGGGCAAGTAGTTTCAAAACAAATTAAACTGTAAGTTACATTGTATGGCAGACAGGTGAAACACATAGTCAGCTATCAACATCTACACAATAGTTCCTAAATTAGTCGTTAGATCTAAAGCTGAAAATCTATCCTCTCTTTAAATGGGATCCTTCAGACTAAACTTTAACGATGACATTTCCTGAGTAAACCTGGATTAAACCATTCAACAGCTTAAAATTTTACTTCAAGGCTTCCAGTTTAAATTCTACACACGGATAGCAAAATGGTCCAACGTTCTGTACTGGCACACTGTCATCATCACCTGTGACTTTGGTTTCCAAGGTAACCGTGCAGTGTTTCAAAAATACAATCAGTAGAACTTTCATGAAGGTATCAGCCACCCGATATCCCATACACCTTCGCGGGCCAATACCAAAGCGACACAAGCTTTTGCGCATGTTCGGTGTTTCGTTGTCGAATCGCCGGGGATTGAAAGTTTCGGTCTCGCCCCAGACTCCCATGTTGCTGTTTACTGCACTGTTGTCAATGGATACTTCAACCTGAAAAAAGAATGTTGAAACGACCTTGTAAGCCTAATTTGGCCTTACGAAAAAACAGAATACCTTATTTGTCTCACTGCACGGAACACAAATTTAAGAAAGTCCTGTTATATAGAAATGTTAACGGACTGAAGATGAGGGCAAGAGACGTTTATTTCAAAGAGGGACGATCATAAACGACATTAACGGGCAGTCAGATTTTGATCTTACGACTGAAAGGGTTTAAGAAAATAGATTAAATTTCTGCATTTAACAACCGGTTGTTTTTGTAACTGGAACCGGAAATTTATCCATGATGGATTCCCCAAACCATGAGAACATCAGTGAACAATGTTACTAGAGATAGGAGAAGAAACCGGACCAGCAAAGTCAATGTTTGTACCCGGATATATGAACTGAATCAGTGCTTGTTCCATTTGATGTAAACTGAAAAAGACATTACTTTAAACTTTCACTGTTCCAGGGGGTTTCATTAACGTTTTCAACAGGAGGGCAACTGGTTTTCACAGGCAGGCAAAACTTTTTAAACTGAACTTCTTTGTAAGAAAAACTTTCCTCTAGATTGTCGAACCAGCCGGGCAAAATCTTTGTCACACCCGGTCAATTTTCCCGGTGCCCGGCCCTGAATGAAACCCCTGCTGTTCTCCAGGTTAATTTCACATTTCTAAGCTCTAATTTAGTATTTGGCTCTACGTTACCATAAAACCCTGTAAAGCTCTTACCCCTGGGGGACTGTGAAAATCTCCGATCGCCATTGGACAAGTAACATATTCCGGGGTGCTGATAACCATCACGGGCCGTTTTCTGGCTGATTCCTTCACTACTTTGCCCAAGAAATCCATTCTGCTGAGAAAGTCTAAACTCAATGGTCCTGAAAGCTAGAGGAGAGTGACACGTATGAGACAAGACAACTAGAGTAGTTTCATCGCACGGGAGTAATTGACTGGCTTTGATGGTGTTTGATGTGATGAAGCCGTGAATAAAACATCTATTTGAAGGAAATCATGTTCATGCGGAAAACAGACAGTTTTTCTGATCTCTGCAATCTAGAAGTCCGTATGCTTTATAATATTATTTATCAAGTTATCAAGATGCCCGAGGATGGACATAAAAGTCAAATGCATGTAAATTTTGCTATGCCATAAATCCTCGAATTAGCGCCCGGGGTGCTTATTTCAAATATAGGAGAACACGGGGGGCGCTTATTCGAGGGGAGAAGGGTGCTTATTTAATTTTTCCCAAATCGTAGCCTGACATGATCATTTTTTTAATACATCATCTGCGCATAAAAACAACATAAGCTGTTTATTCGATGTTTATCGACATATCAAGCTGATCATAAAGTTTAAATCACGGCACCCGTTGCAATATTTTTTTCCAAACTTAACGTGTTCACAAACTGAAACAATGTACAAATCCAATACTGCACAACGAAAACTATACATCCTTTGTTGTCTCATAAATCGTTCACAAAATGGGGGGCGGGGAAGGGGGCGCTTATTGGAGGTTAAATTTTGGCCGATAGGAGGGCCGCTTATTCGAAGNTTGTGATTGAAAACAACCAAAACTATACATCCTCTGTTGTCTCAGCACTCTTCCATAAGCCAGGGGGAGAGGAGGGGGGTACTCATTCGAGGGGAGGCACTTAGTTTAAATTTTGGCCGATAGGAGGGGCCTTATTTCGAAGGGGGGTGGGGGGGGGGGGCCTTATTCGAGGATTTACAATATGTGCTATACCTAGTTGAAGATATGAGATTGGTTGACATTCTATTAGGCAGTGTTCAAATGATTTTAGCCAAATCGGCCAAAGTATCATGTTTAAAATCATAAGTAGCAGGTTGTTAGTAGAGATTGAAAAACAAACAGAACCCAGCAGTCAGGCATCCGGGAGTTTATGCAGTACTAAGATTGTTATTTACTCACTTCTGAAGTTGAGTCCGTAATCTCATCTGTTAGTTCCTTCTGAATGTCTTCATGAAGAGCCACGTGAAACAGAAGCCAGGCAGTGGCACCACACGTGATATCCACATTAGCCAAGGAGGCTTCCTCCAGAGTTTCTTGAAACTAAGACATGAAAAAACCTCCTAAAGTAAGTAAAACCTCCCAGCAAGCTGATCTGATGATCAGCTGGGGTGGGGGCAGATTCACAAAGGTCTCGTAGCTATTGTTAAGAAACAATGCCTAAGATGCATTTTAATTTAGGAGGGCTTCCCAAATGCAATTCCCAGCTTATTAATCTAACCTTGGCGAGATTCAAACCAAAATTAAAAGTACAAGTCGTTTTAAACTTGCTTAGGTGGAGTCGCTCTCAAGCTTAGTTAAACACGCATGTGGAAACACTTAAGCCTGGTTCACACTTGTGAGATAAACATAACACAAGCGAAATAAGCACAAGCACAAGAAAAAGAAACATGTTCCTTTTTTCTTGTGCTTGCGCTTATGCTTATTTCACTTGTGTTATGCTCATCTCACAAGTGTGAACCAGGTCTAAGGCGCACAAAAACAATGCCTCTAAAATCCAGTTGATGTTGCGCATTGAAATCGAGCGTTTCTATTCAATTACACGAGGGTTTACAGATCACCGGCCTGTAGGCCTAGTATGTAAGTTCATTTCACACTTGCCGGTCAGGGCTAGGGTCCGGAGTAGACTGACYGGACCAAACATGGATAAGGAAAGTAGTTCTAAGCTTACTGAGGTGTGCCACCCCCTCTCYGAGTCTCTTCCCTGGATACAATACCCCGCTGAGATGAAGGTTTGCTACAAATTAGAATGATTGACAATCAAAAGTACATTACCTCTTCTTGTGATAGAGCACCAGGATTTTTAACAAGGGTTTGTTGGATCTTGTAAAAAGCACAGCTTGTGTCTCGCGTCTTTCCCTCTAAAAACCGCTCTTCGAAACTAAGGGTAACAAAATCAGAACCCAAGGTGAATATAAAGCCAGTTACTTTAGTCCCAAATATTTTAATTATAATTTTATGTGATCGATCTTAAACCAAGGAAGAGTAAAGTAGTGGAAGATTAATGGAAATCAACACTTTTTTTATAACCTAAATTGGCTGAGAACACGATGTCAATGCTCTAGCTGTCTAGAACGTGTTGTGAGTGTCAATTCTCTCCAATTATTGGGACATACAGTCGACCATCGTTCAAACCCACGTGAGGTGACGTCTGTTAAAATAATGAACGACAATGAGACGTCAACTCACTGCAAGTTTCTACCCAACCTGTCAACTTTCAAACTGATTATTATCCACCATGTAACTTCTGGCGCAATGAGAGTGAATTAAATTTGCTGAGAAGTGATCAAAAGTTGTCCCCACAGCAACAAACTTCAGAGCAAAAAAATAGGGAAGTTACTCACCACTTGTTGAACTGTAGCCACCGTCTTTCAAACTCCGAAATTCTCTTGATTGTATCGGTCGGTTAGTATTTGTAAAACGGAAATTTAGCGAAAGGGTTTGTGAAGGTGTCTGCGATAAGAGTGCCCACTAATGCTCTTAGCTCAATTAATTCTTATAGCTTCTCTTCAGAAACATTTCTCCCGTACGTGAACTTCATTAGCATTCTAAACGTCAGCAGAATTAGGTCATC